GGGTCAAACGGAGTGACGGAGACGACGCTTCACCCAATAAGCTGACCGCAGAACAGGCCAAAATAATGGAGGAACTGGAGGACGCTGGCCCGATCAACCTGTCCATTAAAAAACCCAGTAAGCTCAATGCAGTAGTGGAGACTGAGAAGAGCTCGAAGAAAAACATGGATGGGAAGGCAAACCAGCCGCAACCCAACGAGAAGAAGAGCCTGTCGAAAAACGAGCCAAAGGAGAAAACCGCTAAGAAGCTGAAAGGAAAGACTGCTGTGAAAGACACTGAAGAGACACAAACCGAAGATACACGGGTTAATAATAAAAAGGAGACCAAGAAGGCGGAGAAATCTGCGGAGAAAGCCTTGAAAAGCCGTCAGAAGAAGGAGAAGCCTGTGAAGGACTCCAGCGTTCAGCAGCAGAGCGATGACTGTGAGCAAACGCAACACACACCACAGCAGAACGAGACACAGGAAAACAGGCCTGAGAAGGAAAACAGATCATTGACTGAGATCGATAATGCAAAGGATTGTGGGAAAGTGCAAACCAAGAAACCATGCAAGAAGCAAACGAAGACTTTAAAGGTCTGCGGTGAAACCCAGAACGTGGAAGAGGAGGAGATAATGAGGCAGAAAGCAGGCAAAAGAAAAGCAGACAATCCAGCAGAACCAAAGCAGCGGATCAAACGGACCAAGAAGAAGGATTCGGGAAAACCAACAACAAGTGAAGCAAATCAAACCAATCCTGAAGTCATGGAGAGCGAAAGCTCTGAAGCAAATAATGCAAGCAAACCCGACGACAGTATTGATGAATCTCAAAATCCTCCTGTAGCTGAATCACGGCCTGATGTGGAACCACAGAGCGTTCCTGACTGTCCGATTGAGAAAGCTCCAGCTGTAGAGGAAGTCCAGCGCCCTCTGGAGGTGGAGATCAGCACTGCAGCGCCAGATGCTCCAGAAGTGGACAGTGGAAATGAAATGCCATCTCCGACCGACAGCGACGGTGCTCCGGGATTCACCCCGACTCTACCACTGCAGCACAAGCCTGCAGATGCTGAAGATGACGAGGGCATCCACAGTAATGATGGAGGAAGTGACATCAGCGACAGCGCCTCTGAAGGAAGCTACGACTCTGGGCTGATGGCGGGCGCAGAGAAACTGCCAGAGACTCCGACTGAGGAGAGAGACGCTTCTGCAGCCCGACTGCTCAGCCACACCTGCATCTTCTGCGACCGCAGCTTCGCTCTGGAGATGGACTACCGGAAACACCTGAACCGACATTTAGTCAATGTGTACTACCTAGAAGGGGCGGCACAGGGGGGCAAATGAGATGCAACCGAACTGGGTCAGATGTAAAACAAACATGGGGCTGTTGCTAGATCCGCAGCAGGACATCAGTTTTTAAAAATGCATCGCTGTTCTCTCTTGAATCAAATCTGAGTTTAGCTTTTTAGCAGTAGATGGCGCTGTAGGATAGTTTGAACAGCAGTTGATGCTCTACACCTGCATTTCAGAACATTCAAATGTTAAAAACTAAACTAGAATGCCGTCTGCTGTCAAGCACTAGCCTAATGCACAATCTGCTGCTCAAAACTAGCCTAGAGGGACATCTGTTAAAACGAGTATAGACTGCCATCTGGTGTTTAAAACTAGTCTAGATCGCCGTCTGATGTTAGAAACTAGCCTAGAGTGACGTTGTTAAAAACTAGAGTGCCATCTGCTGTTCAGACGTTGCTCTAGGCTAGTTTTGATGTTAAATATAGCCTAGAGCACCTTCTGCTGTTAAACACTAGCCTAGAGCTCTGTCTGCTGTTCAAAACTGGTCTAGAGTGCCGTCTGGTGTTTAACACTAGTCTAGAGTGCCATCTGGTGTTTAATACTAGTCTAGAGTGCCATCTGGTGTTTAACACTAGTCTAGAGTGCTATCTGGTGTTTAAAACTAGCCTAGAGTGAAATTTTGCTAAAAGCTAGCCTATAGCGCTGTCTGCTAAAACTACCCTAGAGTGCCATCTGGTGTTTAAAAATAGTCTTGAGTGTCATCTGGTGTTTAAAACTGGTCTACAGCACCATCAGGTGTTTAAAACTAGCCTAGAGTGTCATCTGCGGTTCAATACTAGCCTAGAGCGCTGTCTGGTGGTTAAAAGTAGTCTAGAGTGCCATCTGGTGTTTAAAACTAGCCTAGAGCGCCGTTTGTTGTTCAAAACTACCTTAGAGTGCCGTCTGCTAAACATGCCTAGTTTACTACCTGAGGTTATAAATTAGCCTTTAGCTCTATGTTGTTCAAAACTAGCCTAGAACACCATATACTGTTAAAACTAGCCTAGAGCGACGTCTGCTGTTAAAACTAGTCTAGTGTGCCATCTGCTGTTCAAAACCAGTCGAGAGCACCATCTGCTAAAACTTGCCTAGTTTGCCACCTACTGTATGAATAAGCCTAGAGCGCTATGTTGTTAAAAACAGGCCTAAAACTCCAAATGCTGTTAAACTAGCCTAGAGTGCCATCTGCTGTTCAAAACTAGCCTAGGGTGCCATCTGCTGTTCAAAATTATCCTAGAGCACCATGTGTTTAAACTAGCCTAGAGCGCCATCTGCTGTTCAAAACTAGCCTAGAGCGCCATCTGCTGTTCAAAACTAGCCTAGAGCGCCATCTGCTGTTCAAAACTAGCCTAGAGCGCCATCTGCTGTTCAAAACTAGCCTAGAGTACCATGTGTTTAAACTAGCTTAGAGCACCATCTGCTGTTCAAAACTAGCCAAGAGCGCCATGTGTTTAAACTAGCCTAGAGCGCCATCTGCTGTTCAAAACTAGCCTGGAGCGCCATCTGCTGTTCAAAACTAGCCTAGAGTACCATGTGTTTAAACTAGCCTAGAGCTCCGTCTGCTGTTCAAAACTAGCCTAGAGCGACATCTGCTGTTCAAAACTAGCCTAGAGCACCATGTGTTTTAACTAGCCTAGAGCGCCACCTGCTGTTCAAAACTAGCCTAGAGTGACATCTGCTGTTCAAAACTTGCCGAGACCACCACCTGCTGTTAAAAACTAGACTATTTCAATAACGTCACTCTAGTCTAGAGCACCGTCTGCGGTTCAAAACTAGTCTAAAACAACATGTTAAAAACTAGTCTAGAGCAACATGTTGTTAAAAACTAGTCTAGAGTGCCATCTGCATTTCAAATCTACTCTAGAGTGCCATCTGCTGTTCAAAACTAGACTAGTTTAACAACATGTCATTCTAGGCTAGAGCGCCATCTGCTGTTCAAAACTAGCCTAAAGCTCTATCTGATGTTCAAAACTAGTCTAGAGCAACATGTTGTTAAAAACTAGTCTAGAGTGCCATCTGCATTTCAGATCTACTCTAGAGCGCCATCTGCTAAAACTAGCCTAGAGTGTCAACTGCTGTTCAAAACTAGACTAGTTTAACAACATGTCACTCTAGGCTAGAGCGCTATCTGCAGTTCAAAACTAGTCTAGAGCAACATGTTGTTAAAAACTAATCTAGAGTGCCATCTGCATTTCAAATGTACTCTAGAGCGCCATCTGCTAAAACTAGCCTAGAGCGCCATCTGCTAAAACTAGCCTAGAGTGTCATCTGCTGTTTAAAAGCAGCTTAGAGCTCCATTTACTGTTCAAAATTAGCCTAGAGCACAATCTGTTAACACGATTCTAGAGTGCCAGCTGCTGTTCAAAACTACTCTAGAGCGCCATCTGCTAAAACTAGCCTAGAGCATTATCTGGTGTTAAACACTATCCTAGAGCGCCCTCTGCTGTTTAAAACTGAACTCAGAGTTGATTCAGGAGAGAAAATTGATGCCTTTTGGAAAATCTACACAGGATTATTTCTGGATGACTCAGCTCCAGTTATTGTCTGTGGATCTGGCAGACGCACTCATCAGTGCTGTGCTGTTTTTAATCGCACAATAATGATCCAACACTGAACATCAAACATGACTCAGATCAAAGATTGATTGATTTAGTGTCAGTAATAATGAAATCTAGTGCTAGAGTCCTGAACAGCAGACCACAGTTTAGAAAGCACTTGACTAACCATAATCTAACCCTTCTCTTAAAGACACAGCTCACACAATAATCAACATCTCCTCACTCAAATTCTCAGAAAGTATTTAATGAATATGAACACCAAGAGCAGAATCCAGCATTCTTCAGAATATCTTATTGTGAAAGACTCGAGGGTCAGTCAATAGAGAAACACATGAATGTTTTAGTGAACTGCCCCTTCCCATGGTGTCACACAGATTTCTGTAGACAGGCCTGCTGCAGCCGGAGCGTGTCGTGTGTAATGGAGGATGTTTTTTACTCTCTGTACAGATCAATTTCTCTCTTCCTCTTTAAATGTCTTTTATATATTTCAGTTTCATGCTCAATCCAAAGATTCTGTTGCTTTTGTCTGTGTATTATCACTGTATATATTATTTTCTTCCTCTTCAGTGCCTCCGACAATCAATTTGAGCATTTTACTCACATCTGATGGACCCACGAGTGAAAGAGCGGCTTGTTTCCTCCATATCGAGCTCTTCTGCTTCTATAATTGATCATCTGCATTGAAAATCAGTTTCTCCAAAGTTGATCTGATGCTATTCCAGTGACTTTCAGCATGAGTGTGAAAGTGCCACGACCCTTAATGTCTAATATGATCAGAGAATACTGTAAAGAGAAGGTTGCCTGTAGTATGTTGTGCAATATTGACTTTTGGATCTCTTAACCAAAGCCGGATGTGGATGGTGGAGTTTGAGCTCTGCTCACGGTTGCATTCTTCATGTAAATGGAGGACTTTTGTATGTTGAATTAGCACTGCTCTTCTGTCTCGTTTGTTCTGCTCTTCTTCTATAGGAATAGCATATTGCATATTCACAATGTGGATCAATGTAGTCAGTGCGTCTTCATTTCTTATTAAAAGTAGTCAAATGATATCAGTCAGAATGTTGTAATGTCTTCCCTTGATCTGCTTTTTATCAACCATCTGATACCACCAAGTTTGACTGATTAGCTGAAGATGTTTCAATAAAACTTTTTTTATCTTTTGTTTTTTTAAATGTAGAAATTAGCATATTAATATACGTATATACACTCACCGGCCACTTTATTAGGTACACCTGTCCAACTGCTTGTAACACACTTTGGGTCCATTAGTACCAATTGAGCATCAACGCCACAGCCTACCTGAGTATTGCTGCTGACCATGTCCATCCCTTTATGAGCACAGTGTCTCCATCTTCTGATGGCTACTTCCAGCAGGATAACGCAGCATGTCATAAAGCTCAATCATCTCAGACTGCTTTCTTGAACATGACGATGAGTTCACTGTACTCAAATGGCCTCCACAGTCACCAGAGCTCAAACCAATAGAGCAGCTTTGGGATGTGGTGGAACGGGAGATTGGCATCATGGATGTGCAGCCGACAAATCTGCAGCAACTGTGTGATGCTATCATGACAATATGGAGCAAAATCTCTGAGGAATATTTCCAGCAGCTTGTTGAATCTCTGACACCAAGGATTAAGGCAGATCTGAAGACTAAAGGGAGTCTAACCTGTACTAGTGAGGTGTACCTAATAAAGTGGCCGGTGTATATATACACACAGACTTGGACAAAATTGTTCATACTTTCCAGTTCTATCCAGGCCAGTGTCATTGGTTTGCCTTTTATAATGATTCTGTAGATGCACAATTCAAAAGCAGCATTAGATATTCAATAGTTTATTATCAGAAATGTTCGATTAATCATGACTATTTTCAGCTTTTAAGTTATTTCAGAACCCACTGAGGCTTTTAATTCTTCAGTGGAAGGTTGGAACAATTTTGTCCATATAAACACATTTAGACACTGGTATAAAAATAACCCATCAACAGTGTGTGTGTGTGTGTGTGTGTGTGTGTGTGTGTGTGTGTGTGGTATAGCAGTGTCACAGTGGTCATTTGCTGTGTGTGTTGTGCAGTCTCTGAGCCGCTCTGGCAGACAGTCCCGTGTCCATCAGTGTTTGTGGTTTTCTGGTCTTGTACGCTGCAGATCTGTGTATTCTCTGTCCTTTAAGACGGACGATGTGCGGCAGTAACGGCGGCGTCCGCAAACACACTCCTGCTGCTGCTGGAGCTCGAGTCCTCAATAACAGCTGATCTCCAGCGTCTGCAGTCACCGCGATCCAGCCTGACACACACACACACACACACACACACAGCAGGAGTACTGGGTGAGCACATGATTAACACTTACATAGATTTAATATAAACACTACTGGAGTGGGAACACTGATGATAAAGGAAACATTACCATCTTTATTATGGTATAGTACATGACAGGAATAAGTGTCATTGGGCTACTGAATTATTAGGACAGAACGGTGATGACAGTGAAGTGGCTCAGGCATTATTGTCTGATACCTGTTCTGCCTATACTCCAGTTCAAACAGCTCCTGTTAGACATATGCTCATATTCAATGGCTCATTAATTCAGTATATGGTGATAATATTGATATCATGGACACTTTGAAGTTAAAATATAAAGTAATTCCACACAATATTTACAGCAGCTTGAGAAAGCTGACCTGCTGTTCTGAGACTGATTTCTATATGCATTTCCACCTAGACTGTTCATACTATAACCACCAAACTAACTCCAAACTGCTCTGACTCGGGTTGCTGGGTCACAAAAAATGACCCGAAAAATTCTCCCCATTGACTTAACATTGGACCAAACTTTGTGACATCATAACTTTGCGCCAGAATGTCATACAGATGAGACGTTAGGCTCATTAAACTCAGACCACCCATCTACCAATCACTGATGACCTTTCAACTTACTAGCCACACCCTAGCAACTAACCCATAGACTTTCATTGTAAAAAAACTGTCATTGACTTTACATCGGACATACTGATAACAATTCATACTAGAAACATACTAATCATACTAGCAACATGCTAATCCCTCCTAAATTCATGCTTAGCAACCGCCTAGCAACAGCTCAAAACACCCTATCAACCACATTAGCAACGACCTAGAACACCTTAGTAACTGCCTAGCAACCCCTTAGCAGCCACCTAGCAACACCTTAGCAACCACTCAGAACACCTTAGCAATGACCTAGCAACCACTCAGAACAGCCTAGCAACACCTCAGCAACGACCTAGAACAACTTAGTAACTACCTAGCATTGCCTTAGCAACAACCTAGAACACCTTAGCAACCACTCAGAACACTCTAGCAACTGCCTAGCAACACCTTAGCAATCATCTAGCAATGCCTTAGCAACACCTTAGCAAAGACCTAGAACACCATATCAACCACCTAGCAACACCTTTGCAACCGCCTAGCAACAACTCAGAACACCCTAGCAACCACTTAGCAATACCTTAGCAACCACTCAGAACACCTTAGCAACGACCTAGCAACCACTCAGAACAGCCTAGCAACACCTTAGCAACGACCTAGAACAACTTAGTAACTACCTAGCATTGCCTTAGCAACAACCTAGAACACCTTAGCAACCGCATAGCAACCACTCAGAACACTCTAGCAACTGCCTAGCAACACCTTAGCAATCATCTAGCAATGCCTTAGCAACACCTTAGCAAAGACCTAGAACACCATATCAACCACCTAGCAACACCTTTGCAACCGCCTAGCAACAACTCAGAACACCCTAGCAACCACTTAGCAATACCTTAGCAACCACTCAGAACACCTTAGCAACTGCCTAGCGACATCTTAGTTACCACCTAAAACACCCTAGCAATGCCTTAGTAACCATTCAGAACACCCTAGCAACGCCTAGCAACCACTCAAAACACCCTAGCAACCACCTTGCAACACCTTAGTAAGACCTAGAACACCATAGCAACCACCTAGCAACAACTTAGAACACCCTAGCAACCACTTAGCTTACCTGACCTAGAACACCTTAGCAACCAATCAGAACACCGTAGCAACTGCCTAGCAACATCTTAGTAACCACCTAGAATACCCTAGCAATGCCTTAGCAACCATTCAGAACACCCTGGCAACACCTTAGCAACCACTCAGAACACCCCAGTAACTGCCTAGCAACACCTTAGCAAATGCACATATCACACGTATCACCCTGGCAATGCCTTAACAACCTCTCAGAACAACAAAACAACTCAGAACACCCTAGCAACCACCTTAGCACAGACCTAGAACACCTCAGCGCACGTGTAGTTATCTCTGTATGCCGACTGCAATTATTTTAACTGCTTTAAATGTTCAGACGAGGCTTTCTCGAGACACCATAAAGTTTGTCCAGAGCTTCACTGTTCTAGTTTAGAGGGCCTTTAATAATATTCAGATGTTGTTTTAGTGTTTGTTCATGGCAGCAGTACAGAAATATAAATGAGTAGGTGATTTATTCTCAAACATTTTTTACATTAAGCTTATATATGAAGCATCCCCTGCATGCTTTACACATAACATGCTGATTTATTAGTATTCCTCTGTTCTGGAAATGTCCAAAAATTCATATATTTTAATAAGAAAATTAAATATTTAAAAATAACATCTCAGAAAGGCTGAAATGCTCTTTTAAATTAGATTGTTATTTCTCTAAAATAACTCTAACCATTGAGCGGAGTGATACAGAGCTGTAATGCGCTCTAAACCTGCCGGAACTACTTTAGCTGTGCCTTTATCTGACAATAACCAAACAGCTGAGACCTGGTGACCATCAGCCAATCAGAATGCAGCATTCAGCAGCTCTGTGGTGTAAGCTGAGCTCTTCAGACATTCACCTGCTGAGGAGATCTTGATGTCTGCGATGGCGGTGTCGCAGTCCTGACCCTGGAGCTCAAAGTCCTGAGCAATGAGCGGTGGGAATGTTTTCATGCGCTCCTCACCTCCACACGGCACCTTCACACACACAACAGGCATTAGGAAAAGACCTGCTGAAGGGTTTTTAGCATTGAGCATGATCATAAATGCTGTTGATCATCAGATCCTCATAGGCTAGTGGTTTCTGGAGGATCACCAACACTGGAGACGGCAGTAATCATGCTGGAGATACAGCCTTACACACTGCAGGAAGAGCTGTGCTCAATATTATTAGCCCCCGTGTCCTAATTACCCTAGTGAAGCCTTTACATGTCACTGTAAGCTGAACACTAGTGTCTTGAAGAATATCTAGTCTAATATTATGTGCTGTCATCATGGAGAAGAGGAAACACATCAGCTATTAGAGATGAGTTATTAACACTGTCATGTCTCTTGATATATCTGTAATAGTTCACAGGAGGGCTGATAATGCAGTCTTCAGCTGTAATCACACATGTATTATATTTGTGCTCACCCCCAGCAGTGTATTTCCAGCATGTTTCTGATAGATGTCGTCAGCTTTATCCAGACTGGTGATGTGAACCGGCACACGAGACGACGCCAGCACTGTGAACCAGCAGGAGTTCTGCCCCTACAGAGAGAAACGACGCTGTTATTCAGTTATCTGCTTGTGTTTTACACCATGACGGCTCCAACGGCTGTTTTCAGAGTGAGATAAAGTATACTACAAATATTGATTATATTAAAGGGCACCTATTATGCACTTAATGCAGAGTTTAAGCACAGTAGTGTGTGTGTGTGTGTCTCATGTCATCAGCATGAGTGAGTTGTGTTTGTTCTAATCAGACTTGAAGCAGAAGCACTGTGATTGACATTCTCCTGCTGTGTGTCATCAGAGGGGGAAAGCCCCGCCCACTAGTCTCCATCTCATTAGCATGTCCAGCAGGCCTGAGTGAGAAGCAGCCGTCTGTCCATTATCCATTAGAGTGTGCTGAAGATGATGTCAGCATAGACTAAGAGGATTATAGATGTGGAGTTCTAGATCAACATAGACTGACAGAAGCATCAACACACACTGAAGCACACAGGACACCAAAGCCTGAAGCAGGTGTGTGTTCTGGAGTATGACATCAGTGTTCGAATGTCAGATGTGTGTGTTTGTACCTGCAGGTAGTCGATGCGAGCGAGACCCCCCAGAAACAGCACCGTCCCCGGCTTCAGCAGGAATGTTCTGGGTGTGATGGCGACTGTGGGAACCACCAGCTTCACCTCCTGCTCCGTCAGCACACTCAGAAGCTGAAACACACACCACAACACGATCATTATTAACTAATGGACCCAAAGAAAACCCCCCCACACACCATTACACCACCACCAGCAGCCTGAACCGCTGATACAAGGCAGGATGATCCATGCTTTCATGTTGTTGAGGCCAAATTGTGAGCCGAGCATCCGAATGTGTGAGCAGAAATGGAGACTCATCAGAGCAGCAACGTTTCTCCAATCTTCTATTGTCCAGTTTTGGTGAGTCTGTGTGAATTGTAGCCTCAGTTTCCTGTTCTTAGCTGACAGGAGCGGCACCCGGTGTGCTCTTCTGCTGCTGTAGCCCATCCGCCTCAAGGTTGGCCGTGTTGTGTGTTCAGAGATGCTCTTCTGCAGAGCTCGGTTGTATCGAGTGCTTATTTGAGTTACTGTTGCCTTTCTATCAGCTGGAACCAGTCTGGCCATTCTCCTCTGACCTCTGGCCTCATCAACAAGGCATTTGCGCCCACAGAACTGCCGCTCACTGGATATTTCTTCATTCTCTGTAAACCCTAGAGACGGTTGTGCGTGAAAATCCCAGTAGATCAGCAGTTTCTGAAATACTCAGAGCAGCCCGTCTGGCAGCAACAACCATGCCACGGTCAAAGTCTCTTAAATCCCCTTTCTTCCCCATTCTGATGCTCGCTCTGAACTGCAGCAGATCCTCTTGACCATGTCTACATGCTGAAATGCAGTGAGCTGCTGCCATGTGATTGGCTGATTAGACATGTGCTTTAACTAGCAGTTGGACAGGTGTCCCTAATAAAGTGGCCGGTAAGTGTATGATATTGATCCTAATAGTATAATAATAATCTAATATACTATATTAATACTACACCATAACTATACTATACTAATGTCATACTAACAATATACTATACTAATATTATACAGTACTATACTAATACAAACAGCACCTGATATCATGTGATGAAGGATGTATTTGCACATTAATATTTGGCTATGTGACTTTGGTAAAGGTGTAACATTACTAATGTCAATATTATTAGCCCCCTTGAGAAATGATTGTTGTTGGATTGCCTACAGAACCAACGAATGACTTGCCTAATTAGCATATTATTAACATGATCATGATCAGACGAGCAGAAATGCAGTGTTTGTGAGTAGTGTGTGTGTTATTGAGGTGTAAGACAGCAGTAGTGTGTGTGTTATTGTGACTGACGTCGTTCTCCTTGATGATTCCCGGTGTGTCGTAGCACCAGTGAGCGTCTTTAATCTCATTATAGGAGAGTTCAGCGTCTGCTTTCGGACTCTTCTGAACGTCTCCATCCAGATCTCCTCCAAAGCTCAGACTGTCTGCATCAAACTCCACCTCATCTTTACTGTGTGCCCGCTTCAGCTGGAACGTCCTGCCAACGTGACCTACAACACACATATATAACGCTTTATAAACATTTACAATACAGTTATTCACTCTAGTCTGTGATATATGAAGTACACCACAGTTTGTTTAAGACAGTAACACATTTAATGGAGCTCTTTCTGCATTTGATTTGCTCATTGTATTTAATTAGTGACAAGCTTCTTGTTTTTAATATATATATATATAGTAGTCCGAATATTATAGTATATTATGTCTATATTATAGTCGGAATTATTATCCTCCCGGTTAAATTTTAATTTCGTTAATTGACACACATATGCATGAGTAAATGAGCAGCTTCAGTGATGTGCTGAACTGTGTGTGTGTGTGTGTACCGATGAGGTATCCGTGTCTGCTGTAGTGTGTGATCCTGCGCAGCTCGTCTGCAGTGATGTTCTGCTGCGTCTGCTGGAGTCTCTCTGCTCGTCTGCTCAGGCGATGAGCTGTCGGGTTTAGGATGGGGAACTTCAGCAGATTCAGAGTCGTTCCTGCACACACACACACACACACACACACACACACACACACTCCATCAGCACTGCAGACACACAACACACCATCCTGTCTGTGTGTGTGTGTGTGTGTGTGCCTATCTGTTCATCTACATATATATATATATATATATATATATATATATATACACATACATCTGTCTGTCTGTCTGTCTGTCTGTCTGTGTCTATCTATATATAAACATATATAGATGAGGCCTTACAGCAAGAAGGTCTCTGGTTTGAGTCTCGGCTGGGTCAGTTGGTGTTTCTATGTGGAGTTTGCATGTTCTCCCCGTGTTGGTGTGGGTTTTCTTCGGGTGCTCCGGTTTCCCCCACAGTCCAAACACATGCGCTATAGGGGAACTGATCAACTACACTGGCCTTAGTGTATGAGTGTGTGTGTGTGTGTGTGTGTGTGTGAGAATAAGTGTGTATGGGTGTTTCCCAGTACTGCCACTGAAAGGGCATCTAGTGCATAAAACATATGCTGGAACAGTTGGCGGTTCATTCCACTGTGACGACCCATGTTGAATAAAGGACTTAGCCAAAGGAAAATGAATGAATATATATACACACACACACACACACACACACTGTCTGCTGTCTATATATATACTATCTGTCTGAATAAATATATATACATATACATTCTGTCTGTCTGTCTATATAAATGTCTGTCTATACATCTGCCTGTCTATATATATACTGTCTGTCTATATATTCGCTTGTCTGTATATATATAATGTCTGTCTGTCTATATAACTGCCTGTCTGTCTATATATCTGACTGTTCATATATATATATACACTGTCTATAAATATATATATACACTGTCTTTCTATATATACATGTCTGTCTATATATCTGTCTATATATTTGCCTGTCTATATATATATATATGTGTGTGTGTCTATATATATATATATACTGTCTGTCTATATATCTATATATAATGTCTGTCTGTCTATATATATACTGTATGTCTGTCTATATAACTGCCTGTCTGTCTATATATAATTCTGTATGTATATATATATATATATATATATATATATATATATATATATATATATATATATAATCTGTCCGTCTATATATTTGCCTGTCTGTATGTATATAATGTCTGTCTACATATCTGTCTGTCTCTCTCTCTATACACACACACACACACACACACACAAACACACACTGTCTATATATATATGTCCTTGCATCTATTTATCTACTTGTTAATCAATCTATCTATCTATCTGTCTGTCTGTCTGTATATCTATCTATCTATCTGTCTGTATATCTATCTATCTATCTATCTATCTATCTGTCTGTCTGTCTGTCTGTCTGTCTATCTATCTATCTATCTGTTTGTCTGTCCATGTGGGTGAGTGTCTGACCAGGCCATGGTGATATGGTGGCTCTATGAATGGCGTCAGCGGCTGTGGATTTGCAGTAGTCAGACTCCAGCAGGGTGTTGAAGAGTGTGGATTTGCCGGCGTTGGCCATCCCGATCAGGTACACGTCTCCCCGGTGCCTCCCGCGGGTTTGCAGGCTGCTGATCAGGGTCTCGATGCCGTAGCCGGTTTTAGCGCTGATGAGGTGGACGTCTCGGGGGTCAGCGGAGATGCCGGCGCGGGCGCAGTCCGCCATCAGCTGCCGCCGCACCCGCTGCAGGTAGTTCTGCGCATCTCCCGGCAGCAGGTCCACCTTATTCCCCAACACCACCACACGTTTGTTGCGTCCCAGCAGCTGCGGCAGGTCCGGGATGATGGAGTGCGGGAGATCCAGCAGGTCCAGGATCAGCAGAACCAGCGCGCTCAGGGGCCGTATGGAGCCCACCACCGCGCGGTACTGATCCGGGGACATCCGCACGCTCAGCGCCCTCTGCTGGTGCTGGATCAGGAAGCAGCGCTGGCACACGGCCCGCTCCAGCCCACCGCCCTCCAGCAGAGGCTTGTACTTCTCACTGGGCAGGTATCCGGGCTCCTGGGGGTCCGTGCAGTGCAGGAGGGCCCCGCAGCCGGAGCAGGAGGTCTCGCTGAGGGCCGCCTGCGCATCCGGAGAGCCGAACACCTTCTGCGGGCGCTTCTTCTTGGGTTTGTGCAGAGGGAATCCTTCATCATGGAAGTCTATCAGAGAGTGCTCCTCTACGGGGCCCTTCATGAGCTCCAGCTGTCTCTCCAGACCCCGGAGCTGCTTAGACTGAGTCCTGACCTCTCCATCATCATCATGGTGTTTTCTCTGAAGAGCTCCCAGCTGAGGGCCCCGCTCCAGCATCTCTCCATCATCATCATTGTTTCTCTGAGGCCCCCTGAGCTGAGGGCCCTTCTCCAGCACCTCTCCATCATCCTCATGTTCTGTCCCCCAGTCCGGGAACAGGAAGTGCTCCTGTGTGTGCGGCTCCAGCAGTGTGTGCGGCTCCTGAAGCGCCTTTAATGCCGGACCTCCTGCGCGTTTCCATCTGCGCAGACTCTCCGTCCGCGTCCCCGACAAATGTTTCACGCCAGTACCCGCGTAGAGCCGCAGAACCGAGGCTCTGAGAAGCCTGTACATTATTCCGTCAACTTTATAAACACAGCGCCATCGCTAGACTCACGGCCACCTTGACTATCCAGCGACCCACGTGAGTTGCCTGTCGCACAATTGTACGTCACTGATTTTAGAACACGGAATATTTCATTAAAAATAACATTTTAACTCTTTGACTCTAAATTAAACAATAAATGTGTGGTATTTAAAATAGTAAATAGATGAATATGTAGGATGAACTAAAATAAAATCGTAAGAGCCGGAAGTGGCGTATAATCCCGCCGCCGCCTGTGTTGTCTTCAGAGCGGCTCAGACGTGAGGCGCGCGCAGAATCTCTGTTTGTTATCATCAGAAATATTAATAATACGCGGTACAAATCATGTATGATCAAGACGAAGGTATGTGTGAGGACTTATAAGCTCACTATGTGCTTATTGGTTGTTTTGTTTTAGTGAAATGTGTGGTTTAATACCTAATTTTCAAGCGTTAACGTAACGTATATGCTAACCGGCTAACTCTTGCTTTGTCAGAAATGAGCTGAACATGCATACTAATATAACTATTGTAGATTTAATACAACTGTAGGCTTTAAATATTGCTTATTAATTGTGTAACTTGTGTTTTGTTTGCTAGGCCGCAGTATGTAATGTTCATTTTAGGATATAAGTTAATGTGTTGTTGTTAAACTCTGTATTATTAGACATGTTGAAGTAAATACTCCATAATCACTGCAGATATCCAGTATGATGAAGATGATGATGAAATCACCCCTGACCTGTGGCAGGAGGCCTGCTGGATTGTTATCAGGTAATAAAACCCTGCTATAATGGAGAAACTACATAAAATTACATGTACAAAACTGACTTTATTTACTGAAATCACAGAAAATGTGTATAAAGTTGTATATAGTTGCAACAAGCTGTGCTTATTACAGTAAATGGCGATAGTGAATGTGATTCTGCTTGAAATGCTGAAAAGCTTATTGTTGTGTGTAAATCTAGTGGTTTGAAGGAGAGTGGCCACTAATTAAGATTTCACATGACAATTATTGAGTATATTTAGGTCAAACTGTGAACTTTAAATGGAGTATATGTCATTAAACATGGCATTAAAGGATTCCTAATATATGAATGACAAGACTTGGGTGTTGAAACAATTTTTCCACTCATTGACATTGTGGTGGCCTTATTGTTTGGGAAAATGAAGACTTTCCATAGCATGGAGAAAATTACAGCTGTGTTGCATTGTTTTTCTTTAGCTAATTTTATTGAAAACCCATATTATTTGGAGACCCGTAGTATTTTTATATTGATAACATGTATTATATGAAGAGCCATATTATATTTGCCATTTTACTGGTTTGATGCATACAAAACCCATATTCCACAAAAACCCATGTTATTTTTTAGTGGTGTAACAGACCACAAATCTCACTTTTCGGATCACACTACGGTATTTGAATCATGGATTCGACCATTTTTTGGATCAGCAATAAGGGAGGAGACAAATGTAATTTGCTTTTAATTTATACAAGCATATTACTGCAAAAACTATTGTTTTAAACAAAAATGAACATCAAGAAAGAACAGCTGAAGAAAAGGAAAATATTCAATAGGTAAAATGATGTTTGCTACTGCTGCTGATAATGCTAAACATAGAAATCTAACATCGTCCACAGCATAACACATTTATTTACAATTAATGATTTAACAGTTCACTTAAAACTTCCTGTTTCATCATAGATGGATCATCTCTGCAAACCTTTTCAGTGTCATCATTTTGATGGTTGTTTGTCGCCATTGGTTAAACAGTGTAATTGCTACAACATTCACCAGCGTCAAGTTCCATTAAACGCTGATTTTATTCTTTACCATAAACATCAGAGTTTATATCTGAACTGTAAACCGTCTCCCAGCACTGCTGTGGTATTTAATTGTTTGTAACTCACTGAAAATATTGTATAAACTGAATCTCTCTCGACCAAACGCCGATCTGAATGCATGGCTTCGAAGGATTAATAATGTAATGTGTGTATTTAATGTAATGTGTATTTACATAGCGCAGTTAATGTGTATGGCCGTACACCCAAAGCACTTCACAATCATGAGGGGGGGGGGTCTCTCCACACCACCACCAGTGTGCAGCATCTACTTTGATGATGCAACGGCAGCCACAGGACAACGGCGCCAGCTATAGGTGGAGTGGAGAGACAGTGATGGAGCCAGTTCAGTGCATGGGGGTGATCGTTAGGGCCGATGGAGGGACTTTGGCCAGGACACCAGGGTTACACCCCTACTCTTTACCAGAAGTGCCATGGGATTATTAATGACCACAGAGAGTCAGGAGCTCGGTTTAACATCTCATCGAAAGGAATGAACATATGCAAATCATTATTATTTATTGTTCATGTTGCGCGGGTTTGAATTGAGGTCATGATATTTTAATGTTAAATTCTGCAGCTTTACACTGAGAGCATTAATGCAGGTTATACAAACTGACAGAAAACACCTTTAGTTAATAACCTGAGAAAGCATTTAGCTCCCACTACAACCCCGAACTGTGGGTTGTGATCCATGCAGATCACAGATCCACCATGATCCAGTTCACCCCACTCATTTTTTATTGTTTTGTTAATTTGTTTGAAAGCCCGTATAATTAGTTTTGTTGTTTTGCTAAATTGATTAAAAACACATATTATATGAAGACTCGTATTATATTTATCTCTTTACTATTTTGACTCAAAACCCATATTAATGGAAAACCGTTATTAATTTTAACGCTTTGCTAATTTGTTTAAAAACGCATATGATACGGAGATCCATGTTAGGCGTCTTTGCTTTGCTCGTTAATGTTCACTTGTGTGTTTTCAGCTCTTATTTTGATGAGAAGGGTTTGGTGCGGCAGCAGCTGGACTCCTTCGATGAGTTCATCCAGATGTCTGTGCAGAGGATAGTGGAGGACGCTCCTCCCATAGACCTGCAGGCTGAAGCCCAGCACACATCTGGAGAGGTGGAGGAACCGGTGAGTGGACACGGCTTAATTGAGTTTACTGCCATTGTACTGGATAATGAGATGAAAAGAGAGCAGCCCACAAAGTAAAAGTGCAAAGTGCTAGACAGAAGGCCCAATGATGCAGGGATTATAGTTCTCCCTTCATGAGTGCCTGAATATTCATTCATTCATTTTCCTTCAGCTTAGTCCCTATATTCATCAGGGCTCGCCATAGTGGAATGAGCCACCAACTTATCCAGTATATGTTTTACACAGTGGATGCCCTTACAGCCGCAATCCAGTACTGGGAAACACCCATACACACTCATTCACACACACTCATACACTACGGCCAATTTAGTTGATCAGTTTCCCTATAGTGCATGTGTTTGGACTGTGGGGGAAACCAGAGTACCCAGAGGAAACCCACGCCAACACGGGGAGAACATGCAAACTCCACACAGAAACACCAACTGACCCAGCCGAGACTTGAACAAGCGACCTTCTTGCTGTGAGGCCACAGTGCTGACCACTGAGCCACCGTGTCCCCCATTGCCTGAACACAGCATCTAGAATACTATGTTTAATGGTTTGGGAATTGTTCAACATGTTTAATAAATAGAATTACACAAACATGTCCAAATCTATTTGTATGTGTGTGTTAAATGTGTTGTGTGTAGGTTTTTGATTCTACGAAGGCATCAAAATACCAAATATTTTTTCATGTTTACAAAAAACTTGTCAAGTGAACATACTTATTTAATAATAGCTATTAAAATACACACACTGGCAGTAATAAAACATCTTGTTTAAATTATATTGCTCTCATATATTTAAATAATGTGTGGATCAAAGGAATGTGCCCTGAAAAAATATTCAGAATTAGTTTGACTTTTATCCATGATAACGTCAACATCTTTGGCTGTTGTTGGAGCTCAAAGCCTGTGTACGCCGCTGCTGTCATATGCATTTATGAGTCTGTCTCTAAACTGAATTGTGTGTTTGTTTGCGTTTCTGCAGCCTCGTTACCTGCTGAAGTTTGAGCAGATCTACCTGTCCAAACCCACGCACTGGGAAAGAGACGGCGCTCCGTCCCCTATGATGCCGAACGAAGCCAGACTTCGAAATCTCACGTCAGTGATGATGATGCTTGTGTATATATAAATGAATGTTTACTAGTTTAGTATTTTAATATTTAATTCCTTTAATTTCCAAGTGATGAGGATACTAATGCATATGTAAAGTTGTTTAAGTTTTTAAAAAATATTTCCCAGATGATGTTGAACAGATTCAGGAGTTGTTCACAGTATTTCCTCTAATATTTGTTCTTCTGGAGAAAGTCTAATTTTTTTTATCTCTGCTAGAATAAAAGCAGATTTTAATTGTTTTAAAGCTACTTTTAGCTCAATATTATTCACCCCTTCAGCAATATTAGTGTTGGATTGTCTCCAGAACAAACCACTGTTATACAATGACTTGCCTAATTACCCTAACTTTACCCTAATTACCCTAGTGAAGCCTTTACATGCCACTTTAAGCTGAACACTAGTGTCTTGAAGAATATCTAGATTAATATTATGTGCTGTCATCATGGAGAAGGGAAAATACTTCAGTTATTAGAGATGAGTTATCAACACTATTATGACTAGAGACGTGTTGAAACAAATCTCTCCATTAAACAGAAATTGGGGGAATAAGCTTGAAATAATTCAAATATAACAGGAGGGCCAATCATTTTGACTTAAATAAATAGGCTATATGATAGTGTTGTATTTTGAGCTCAAACTTCACACACACACACTCCTCAGACATTTTAAATCTTGTAAATGAGTGTATAACAGGTCCTCTTGAAGTATTTAACAGGTTTTATTGTGTGTGATTTGCAGGTATTCTGCTCCTCTGTATGTGGACATCACAAAGACCATCATAAAGGACGGGGAGGAGCAGCAGCAGACGCAGCATCAGAAAACATTCATCGGCAAGATTCCCATCATGCTCCGCTCCACGTACTGTCTGCTGAGCGGGCTGACGGACAGAGATCTCTGTGAGCTGAACGAGTGTCCACTGGACCCCGGAG